TGAAGACGGAACCATGAAGCAGGAAGGCGGGTCGAGACGCCGCGCCGGATCCGAAAAGGCCAAGCTGCCTCCCGCCGAGCCTCCTCAACTGCTCCCTCTCGCCGCCGATGTGGAGATGCCGGAGGAGGTGCCTCCGGGCGAACCTGCTTCGGCGGAGAAATCGCAGCGCGAGCTCGATTCCGTCACGCTCGAAGGTGGGGAGGGGGAAGTAGCGTTGTACGCGAGCAGGAGCTAAGGTAGAGCTAGAGCGGCCAAAGATGTGGAAAGGGTGGGAATGTCTCCCCTTCCCATTACTTTTGTGATTAGGGCATTGGCGGCGGGGGGTGCTGTCGAAAATTCCAGGGGCTTCGATTGTTCAGTTCACGGGGATTCGGCTTTGGGGGTGGAAAGTGGGGTTAAAGGGATGTGGTGGTTTCTTGCCGGGGGCGGGGGGGGGGAGAAGCCAATTAGAGAAGTCTTTTAAGATATAGAAGCGCTTGGAGAAAGCTGCTTAGCACCGATAGTGCTAAGCCATAATTCCTCAACCATGGTTCGTTTAATACTATAATTCACATGGATGCACTATTACTTTCTGTCAGCCAGAGAGAGACTTACTGCCTTGATCTGAATACTGGTGACGACACTGGGTTTTTCTGGGGCTACCATATCTGAATCCGCACGCTGCCTTCTTGCCTGACTTACATTTGTGTAAACCCGCTGAAACATTGTTTGAGATTCACGAAGGAAATAAATAAATTTGGCCAAGTCAGTACCAGATGTCTTGCTCAAAATTCCGACTTTGATAAATTTGTGTTGGCAAAGGAACAGGTTTGGATTCCATAGTATAACGGTATAATTTATTCTCTGGGATAGTGTTTTTCAACCTCGGCAACCTGAAGATGTGTGGAGTTCACCCTCCAAAAATCCTCTGCCAGCGTGAGAATTCTGGGAGTTGAAGTCCATGCATCTTCAAGTTTTTCTGGTTGAAAAACACCAGTACAAAATAACTTGCCAGAGGCCAGCTTGAAAGTATTTTCAAAGGATTTTTATTTAAAGAGTGTGGTGGAGTCTTTGTTATTGGCCAGTTTTGTAACATAGTCTATTTTAAATGGAGGTGATTCTTTTATTGGAATAGTAAAGCTCAGTGGATGGTTGACAAAGTGGAGTCTAAAAAAATAGAAACAGATATAGAATAAAACCAAAATAAGCCAAACATGATGAAAATGCAAGAAGCACAGGCAGTTGTATTTTATTTTTGTTAAAATATTAATGATTAAAACCTTGTAAAAATGGAAAATATTTCCATTTGATGCCAGAATACCACAACATGAGTACTAGGCAAGGGTCTTGAGAAAAACATTCCAGGATTGAAGTCCAATCCCTAAAAATATATTTCATTATCAGATTAATCAGCAACAGTGCTAGCATTCAGTTTTTGTCATCCACAGATAGCTCACGGAACTCCCACACTTCAAAATAATGTTGGCATTTGCTTACTTGTTATATTATTTTTCATCTAGCAACAGAGGTAATATCTTCAAATTTAGCTGTAGCAATACATTAACTGAAATGCCAGTGTATAGGCTTTAGAACAGGCTTTCTGGGCAATTCTGGGAGTTGGAGTCCACACATGGTGTAAAATTGCTGAGATTGACAAATAGTGCTGTGAGGAGTAAAATCTCAACTCCAAAAGTTGTTGGAATACAAAACAATTTTATTGAAGTGTTTGCAAAGGCTGGTGGATTTCCAAGCAAACAAGCAAGAGAAACCACAGCTAGTTACAGATCTCAGCATATTTTATACATTCCTATCACCAGCCATTTGTCCCTCCTGCCCAGGTCAGTCACATGCTAACAGCCCACCTATAATCTACTATTGCACCTAAAAGTTCAAAATTAGTTAATCCCCTTGTTGCTAAGCATCCAGCCCCTTCATTTCTCACCTCTTTTCCCTTATCAGTTGTCTTGTTTTTCTGTATAATGGTACATATTTCAAGCCAGAAGCTATGTATGTCATTGCCTGTCAGGGTTCATACATCAGGCAAATATGGCTGTGCCTTGGATATGTATTAGTGTGGCTATACTTTAAAATACTAACTCTAGGTAATTTGAACAAAGAATAAACCTTATATAAGGGTCATTCCATGTCAACTGGTCTGATTTCAGAAAAGTGCCCAGCTCAACCGTCACAGATTTCGATGAAATTTGGTGTGAACATGCACACACATCCCCAGTGAACATTGGTAAAGTGTTACGTGTGCCAATGAAATACTTGCGGAGATATAGTCATTTGTGTGACCCCCATACCGCAGCCTTCTACAGTATGACTCTGAGATTTCAGCAACTTTGAGACATATCTCTGGCAATATTTTGTTGAGACAAACAAAACTTGACCATCTTGGGTGGGTTTCTTGGTTCAGGATCCCAAGCCTGCAGTTTGGTTTCTTCCTCAAGGTTCCAAAGCCTTGTGTGGGTATCTGTCCGGTTCCCAAGCCGACAATTGGGCAGCTTATCCTAGGTTCCCAAGCCTAAAGTGGGTATCTTATATGGTTCCCAAGCCGAAGTCTGTACTGTTCGTATGAACTGCCAATTCCAACGATTGTTTATTTATTATTGAATTTACGTGCCACGTTCTTTAGCGTCGCTTCTGGGAATTGATACTGTCGACCTGACGATGTAACCGAAGGTGCTGGAAGCACACAAATAAGATGTGGTTCTGGAACACAAGAAACATCTTGTCTTTCAGGCCAATGCAATGAATGAGCATTGCCTCACGGATGCATAAATGTTACCAACGCATCATTTTGTTCGATCGAAATGTCCACGATGTTGCCTACCCACCATTTTTTTTTCATAAATGCTGGCAATATAACAACAGGGAAATATGTCAGCCAATTTTAAATTCAGATCGGTGGTATTGGACATTTTGGCCACAAAGTTAATTGTGTCATTTGAAACTTTGTTGACAGAAATTGAATTTGAATCAACTGGCACAAACTGGTGATGATCTCTTGTGCCAGCTATTGTGCTGCTAACTTTCCATCTTTCTTCTTGCAGCATCCTGCTTTCTTCGATTTCTTCCTTCAGAACGTATATATATTTAATTTCATGAATGTTTCTGTCGCAAAAGTTGAACAGATCGGTTGGCATCAGTATTTGGTCAGTTGATGGTCGCTGGAGGCCGGCTCGATGATGCATTGGTAACATTTCTGGCATTTTTACAAAAATGTCAACTTTACACTCAATTTGTGAACTATTGGAAAGCAGCAGGATTAAGAAATTTTATATTCAAACACCTTGTGCTGCTAAGTTATTACAAACAAATTTTCACATTTCTCATACCTTTCCTTCCAGAGATATAAAAAGCTAAACTTTATCCTTTTTCAAGCCGCAGTCATTTTCAGCCAACTTTGCTCCAACTTATCCAGATGGAGATCGCTCATGAGAATGTTTT